TCCTGCTGAGGTTAAAAACACTTTTTGCAGTTTTCACCAAGAGGCAAATTTATTCCACAGCAGATTTTAGTGTCCAAGTAAAATCTCCTGCCTTTTGGCTTAACTGCACTGTGTGTATTTGCATTTGCATCTCTTGTATTCACCCACATGCTGTTGCCTAACATGTGCATACAGGTTATTAAACTATGAATAAATATTTAATTAGGCTTTTTGTGTTACTAATCAAGCGCTGCTTCCCTCCCTCCGTTAACCAGTGCAAACTCAACTGTTTATTGGCCTTTTCTCATTAACCCAGCTATAATTTATGAAATGCATGAAATGCCTGTAGCACTACTTTGTTGTATGCTAGTGGTTTGGAAGCAGAGGAGTTGCAAATTATACTGTCATACTTGGCGAGTATGAGACAGCATGAATGAGGAAACTGTGTTGTTGGTTTAATACAGCAAAATCTCACAGCAGTCTTCTGCTGAATTGTTTGATATGTGATAAGATAAAGAGAACTTGATTGACTGAATACCCAGAAAGCCAGTTATCTTTACAAATTAAAGTATGGACAATTGTTTGCATACATACTAAAACATTCAGCAGTATGTACATTTCAGTAATTTTTTCTTTTATCTCAACCTAGCTTTCTAAAGTTATCTTAAGACTTTTGGCTTAGACACAGTTTTAACTTTTAGTCATTATGCTTCTTTATGCTAGGACATATTCTATTCACAGAGACATATTTATACCAGGGTTACATGACAACACTACAGACAACTTGGCATAGTTAGGCTACTTGCTTACAGTAAATGCACCAATGCTGATAATTATTCTTTAAAAATCATCAAAGACATTTAAAAAAATCTAAAAAGCAAAAAAGCAAGAGTTAAGGGTTAAACAAGTAATGTCATCACCAGATATTACAACTTTAGGACTCAAGTCTTCAAACTGACTGACATGCTTCCTTTCATCCTTGTGGCAATGAGAGATTGCCTCCTAAGAAACAAAACTCTACCCCTTTAAGTAATCATCCTGGATTTGGGCTTCCTATGCTCTGAATTTGATTTGATAGGCCAAATTCTCCATTAGTCTTTTTATTCAATAGGAACAATTGAGCCCTAGTATTTTTGAACAGCAAAGAGCTTAGCTTGTTTATTAAGCAACTTATCCTATAAAATATGCATGGGAGCCTGCTTCTCAAACTAAAAGACAGAGGAAATGCACTGTTTTCTAGCAGCTCTGTATGCTATTGACTAATATTTTCTCCTCTTGTTCACTTTTGTTTAAATTTGTAAAACTGTTTTCATCCCATGGAGGTTTCCCTTTTTATATAGTTTCCATACATATGCAACATGATTGTATGGAAGCTGGTTGACAGTGGGACTGTACTAACCACGTTGCATGTTTTTATCTTGCAGCAAGTCACAGTCTTTGACAAATGCCTTCAGTTTCACAGAATCATCCTTCTTTCGATCATCTGTGAATGAGGATGAAGCAAAAGCTGAAACTATCCGAAACTTGAGGAAATCCTTTGCTAGCCTTTTTTCTGATTAGCCAGTTTCATCCAGGTGCATATAGTCTAGAATTTAGTGAATATTAGTGTTTTCCCCCTGTGAGCCATCTTCCTTTCAACTGTTTCAAGTGTGTTATTAAGCAATATGTTAAACTTCTGAAAAAAGGACTATGATGAGATGAAATTCAGGTACACTGTATAAAATCTATATAAATGATAGAAAGTTATATTATTACAGAACGCTTAATTTTAAGGTCCTTGTCAATTGTAATATTGTGGCCTTATTGTGACTGCACTATATATCACGCTATTGAACTTTTCTGTGTAGAACTGTAGTAATAGAGCACGGTGTCAAGGGAGTTCTCCCTGCTTTACTCATCTCCGGTGCACTGCAATGCATGTTTATTTTGTGTGTAAACGTTTTATACTGCCAGGGTATAGTTTTAACCTAATTTGTTCTTGCCTCACATCCTTGAGAGGCAATTCATACTGGTACTTCCTGTTCTGCCACTTTAATATTGTGAGAGACTAGAGCAGTTTTCTCCTCTTTTGACAATCCTTCCATCTCCAGTGACTATAGACTTCTGCTTGTGTTGCTGAGAGTTGTCCCTATGCTAAAAGAATGTCATAAACAAAGTATGTGTATGTACTATTGTATCCTCACATATGTCTACTGAGCATTTATTTCCAACTTGTAACAAGTGATCGGAGTTGTAAAGTAACATGCATGATCTATACTATTAACCCTATTTTTGTGTATATCTTCTAATAAATGCAAAGCATCATGCTTGATAAAAAGCAGTTTTCTGCAAAGAGTGTTTCTCCAAGTAGGTGTACTTGGTGTTTTGTACAGACTTTGTCTCCAAATCAGTGGTGTACTTTGATAAATATTTAGGCACTGAAGTCACTGCCAATAAGAAATTAGAGTACCAAAATAATAACTGCATACATCAAACAAGAGGAAGATAGTGTAGTAAAATTACCATTCACTGGAATTGAGCTTAGGCTTTCACAGATATTTTGCATATTGAAATGCTTCCCTGACTGGCTGCAACAGAAAAGTTCTCAGGGATGGGGTAACTGCAGCATTTTAAGGTTGTTGGTTCTAATCCTTTAATCCTCAAAGGGAATTTACAAAACACCTTTTGTAGATGGGCCTATGAACTTAACTTCCTAAATCTACTGGATACAAAAAATCATGGATTAAATATAAGCATTGGATGTATGGCACATTATAACCTGCCTGCCATCTGATAACCCCAGGTAACCTGTCTGCATTTTACCAGCTACATTTTTCTATCAGCAGTTCAACATCTCCCCTTCCCTCCCACCTGTCTCACATATATTGTCTTCCACCCCTCCCTCTGATCCTCACTGCCACGCATTTGTATTTTCATAAATCTGCATTTTGGCCTCTATTCTACCCAGCAGAGAACACAATTCACCAGCAGACTCTCCATAGTACACGTGGATGTGCTGCAGCACCAGCTGCTTTTAAAAGCACCCAGTGCTGCATCTTAGGCATTTGTATAAATGGTAAAATGCATGTCGGTGCTGAGAAAATGGTGGTATTGTGCTTTTGAACTAAAACATATCAAAGGTGTTTTAGTTCAAAAGCACACCGACGCCCATTTTCTGCACACTGACATGCATTTTGTCATTTATACAAATGCATACGACACAGCACCGGGCAAGTCAGCTGGCGTGCTCTGCAGACTCGATTAATCAAGTCTGCTCTGATGCGCTGGATTTCTGGCACATCGGAGCAGACAGAGCTATGTGTATAAATGCCCTATAAGCCTGAAGAAGGGTGTTTGTGCCTGAAAACTTGCAAAGAACAATGTGTCCAACTATTTAGTTCATCTAATAAAAGGTATCACATCTACCCAAAAAACCTTCTCTACAGCATTTTAAAACATTCACTAAACTAAAAGTCTGTGTGAAGCAGAATCAATCATGACTAGAATTCTTAAGGCCAAGTTAATACCATGCTCCCTCTGTCTCATACACTTTTCATAGAGTGTGGTCCCTTGTCAAGAGATCTCTGCATTTCCTTTCCCTTATTTGCCACATTAATTCTTGTGAGGAGAAATAAACTGCTGGTTTTCTACGTTCCCACAGAGGAACTTGCTTTCAGATCCTCAAATCTTTTTTTCTTCGTGTTTGTATCAAGTTATATTTTAATTCTACAGACTGAACAAGTGTGCAACAAGATACAGACTGATTTAGATGCGCTAAATCAAAAATACACCCAAGTCCTGTGTAATTTCCACTTTCTGCATTAAAAAGAATTTGGCCCCCTATGGAAATATTTAGGGAACTGAAGTTGCAATTTTACAAGACTAAAAGGTTACAATAGGTGATGTGCTCATTTGTGATCTGAAAATGAAGTACAGAGAAAAAAGGGGCCATTGGAATGTCAAAATTAAATAGCTATAGTCTTTAGCAAAGATTTTTGAGTTACAAACTGACACTGAATGGGGGAGGGGAATGTGAGTGGGTGTTTGTTTAATTCTTTTCCTTAAATCTTCCTCTCATGGAGAACTTGCCCTCAGTATCCTGAGCTAGACTCTACTGAGATAGATATATTCTATACCTCATTTAAATGATCCAGAGGTAAGAATTCACATTAGATCTGCCCTCACTTCTGTTCTAAACATTGATTGACTGACATCTTTTCATCTGCAAGAGGTGGTGGATTTGCTCTAGACAAAACCCCAGTAAAAAGTGTTAAGACACCACATGCACACATTTGTATCATCTACCTACATCCCCCAGACGACAGAAACTTAACAGGTGTAGCTGTTCCTACACTATACAGCTGTGGGATCATTGTCTTCCCCACGACAAGTAGAAGATGGGAAAAATGTCTGCCAAACTATAGAGAAAGAAAGAGGGAAAAACCTGTAACATACATGCAGACCTAAACCCCAAGTACTGAAAAGCTATTCATAATTATTTTTGTTCATGTATCCAGTTAAAGGCCGTCCCTACACTGAAATGCTAACAAGATAAACAGCAGCAAAGGAAGTATCAATCCCATTTCTACACATAGTGAAAATATTGTCATGTTTTCATTATATTAAGGAGTATACCACAGAGAGGACAGAAAAATAATCACTATGGTAGGTCTATGGGGGCAGTTGTCACATACAACAAATATGCAGCCATTATGAGATACAAAGCTTTTATATTTGTCCTAAAACAGCACTTTTTTAGGGTTTGGAGGTGGGGGGGTGGTAGTTAAAAAGAGAGTTCATAAGATGTTAGTATCGTGCATTGCTGTATTAAAATCCTATGTAATATACAATTGATTTACATGAAAAAGTGAAATTTTCTGTAAGACTTAAGAGGCTTCTGTTTATTCCTTCATCTAAAATGTCAGTTTAAGAAGTATAGATAAAGGGTACACAGTCACATGCACAGACAGTGGCAATACAGTTCAGGTTTTTTCAGCAACCTAAGGGGCTCAGGAGATCAGGAGGATGGCAATGAGATATGGATTTCCTCACTTCCAACTCCAAATCAAAACTAAATTGGAAAATGTTAGCACCTGACAGCTATCTGTCAGTTAGTGCTTTGAGGGTTGACGATCTTAAAGCAAACACTTTCTGAAAAGCAGGTGTCCGCATCACAAGCAGCATCACAAGTGTCTCCCTGTTTGGATTCTCAGCTGAGGACTCAGCAGGTCAAGAAACTGAACTAGTCTGCAGAGAGGGTAGGCAGCAGGCCTGTGCAAAGCAGCTAGTATTTGCTTTGGATTCGGATTCAGCTGATTCGGGGGACAGTGATTCAATCCAGTGATTCAAATCACTGTCCCGATTCGATTTGGCTGAATCTGTTTCGGAGATTCAGCTGCTGCCCAATCTCTGAATCATCCAGGCCGGGCCCATACCCTGCCCCTCTCCCAGCCTGGCAATGCCTGGCCCAGCTCCTGGCACTTGTAAAAACAAAAAACAAACCCCGGATCACCGGGTGCTGTTGGGCAGCGGGCAATCCCTGCTGCCCCCTACTACCCTATGCTGCGTGGGGGGCTCTGCATGAGCCCCCTGACCGCCCCCTCACTCCCCCAGCCCCCCCATGGCTGCCCTGCCCCGGCCAGCTCCAGCCCTTTAAGGAAAAAAAATGAAAAAACCCCAGAACTCACCACTCCTGCTCGCAGGGGGT